CAGAGAGAATGAGAGAGAAGGGAAGAGAGAGACTTGACTACAATCATCTGCACAGGTAATTGGAATCGTCTTAACAGGAGCTGGAAAACTGAATAAACGGGTGTAGAGCTGAGTTGAGATTTGAGCCGCCCTTCAACTGGGAAATAAAAACATTCCAGACTCAAACCCCAGCTGACGGGAACTCTGCCTTTCTTCCAGCTAACGATCTCTGCTTCTCGGAGGTCAGCTCTCGGATCAAATCCGAAAATAATTAATCCGAGAAACGAAGACCTAAGCACCGACAGCAGGAGTTGGGCAAGAGTTTGCAAACCCACCAACATTCTCCAGGAATGGGCTGGGAAACACCGCGTCTCCCTTCTCCCTTCAGTCTTCTCAGTCCCTCCGCCCAAGCCCAGCTCCGGCCGCGGCGGGGCGGGCGCTACGGGAGCTGTCCCTTCAGCACCACCGCTCTCCGGCCGCCGCATCCGGCCCGGCCCCGCCGCTGCCCGACTCTCCGCCCAAACAAAGCCACTCTACGCTGTCGTCTCCTTTTCCTCCCCGATCCCAGTCATTGTGAGGCGAGAATACCCCCGAAATGATAATGATGCTGAGGTCCCGGTCAAACTCTCTTTCGCACAAGTATATAACAGCGTGTACGCCTTCTCTTTATCTGCGCTCACTCCCTACACACTTGGGTGCGACTGTAAAGTTTGCCTACAGAAGCGGAGGCTAAAGTCAGTTATCTGTTACCGCAGTATAACATCGTCTAAAATACCTGCTAAATATCCTTTTTTCCCCTTTTTTTCCTTTTTCCTTTTTCTTTTCTTTTCTTTTTTTTTTCTCCCCAAGAAAAGACAAGAGTGGTGCAAGAAATGTGTATTCCAAGAGGCTGAGTCACAAAGTGTGCTCCCTCCGACTCTGTCATTCCTTTTACACTACGAACAAAAGCGTGATTTTAGGCTTGTTAGAAGGTGTTCCCATGTCAGGCCCTTAGACTGCTATTGTTTCTTTTCAAGATAAATGATAATAATAACAACAATAAAAAATACTGAACAGTCACATCCCGCAAATGAATGACGAAATGAGTATTTAGCGAGAATTCCGAATTTTTCTTCTAATTTAGATTTGAGATACTTTCATTGACAGATGGTTATCAAACAAAGTTCACAAACGAGTTCCACACCGATACATAGCGCTACTGAAATGACGTTTCCAAAAACCTTCCTTTCCCCATACGAGATGAAACTGCCTATTTAAAAATCCGGCGCCAGGAAGCACGTTTCTCAAACTCATTATCAGGGATCAATTCGGTTAAATGGGAAATGAGGGAATGAGTCAAGAAAGCCCTGTATTCAACGAGAGCATCCGAGAGCTACTGATGAACAAATCACGTGTAAAGTGCAAATGGACTGTGAAATGTGAAGTGCTCTAAGCTACTTTGAACGTATTTGGGATGAATGTCAAATGCTCACAATTTCGGCAGTAAAAACTAACTAAACATGGGAGGAGGGAAAAAGAGAGAAATTGAGAGGGTTTCAACTTTACAAATATTGATAGACGCAGGTATTTGTAACATCTTACCTCTTCTTATCACACCACCTTGTCCGTTCAGTACAAGTCCACACTGGGCCTCCACTGAGCTCTTAAGTAACGAGGAAAAATAAAAGAAAAAGAAAGAGGGGAAAAAAAAAAAAAGAAAGAAAGAAAAAAAAGGAAAGAAAAAAATCAGATACAGAAACCCACAGACGGATCACTTAGCTTTTGCTTTGTTACACGATTTGCTCAGAACAATAGTTAGAGTGAGCTGGGAAAACATAGTTATTCTCATCCAACTCAAGTGGTCTGGAGAAATCACACAGCCATCCTGCAGCCTGTCCCTACCCAACGAAATGCAGAGCAATTATCACTTTTCTTTCTATTTAAATAGGAGTTTCTTCTGGATTTGTGAAGTAAATCGACAGTTACATGGGCAGAATAGAGGGATAAGCAAGTATTTTTGCAAGAATAGTGTGCTCATACTCTATATTTGCACGCACAGTCATAAAAATATACTTATGCATGTACATATATATATATATACACACTACTAAATTCATACGTATGTTTAGTGACATAAACGTACCGACATACAAAGTGTACGCGGAAGTACACAAAGAGCACAAACGACAGAAGATCTACCGAGCTTTGCCGGCTATACAAAGTCGTATGAGAGTAACAATAGGGCCGAGGAATCGAGTCTCTGTGCTCGTGTCCGCATATAGGTGGGGATGAATATGCATCTATGTGCACAAACACCGGCACCCATGTGTGAGTGTGGCATGATGAACCTTCCAAAAGCCTGTCTACTGCTTCTGGTGCACATCTGAGGAGATCTCAGTTCTTTATTCTCCTGTTATGAGTCTTATTAAGTGGAGATCTTCGCCCTCCATAATAAATATTTTTATTGGAATCATAAAAGACTTGAAAAGGTTGGGTTTTCTTTGGGTTTTCCTTATGTTGGGGGTTAAAAAAACACAACAAACCAAACCTAAATCTTTGCCCAGTGGAAATGTGTTAAAGACGCATTTTCCTCTACAAACAAACGAGGTATTGGACATGAAAGAGGCCTTTAAGGGTGTTAACCTACTCAACAGCCCGTGAAGAGTTAAGTAAATGCGGAGAGAGTCGGTGCATAATAAAAACCCCACTTTACAAAACAACCTTTACAGTCCTGGCTCTCTCCCCCACTTTCACCATATTGGCGCTGGCCCTGTAAGACCTTCCTTTTCAAGGCTCTTTTTTATTTTAAGTGTTCTGCCTTAAAGTGATTATGAAATCAATATGAAAAAAACTTGGCGACTGAGCATAAATTAAAGCGGTGATGGGAAAAGGTGTGACAGTTTTCTTTGTTGCCCATGGAAAATCTTTTTAGGGCACTGAAAGATGCCACTCCAGCTCCAAGACTGTTTGCATCTGTTAGGCTGACTTAAACCGCCCTCGAAACTATTGGACATTCACTTAAAATTCTGTTCAGGGAAAAGTATATTTACATTTGTTGCATTTGAAATGAGGCATATGCTGATGAACGTTTTAAAAAGAAGGACTAAGGGGAAAGAGAGAATAGTGGTTATGCTACAGTTTTGCTTTAAAATGGTTTGTGTTTCGTCCTCATTCTACCCGTCCCCAAAAAGCTTCCCACCGAGCCCAAGGTGACAGTCGCAAGTGTCTAAGTTTGTTCTGAATCCTCCAAATCATAAAGATAAATATTAATATTCTCAACTTCTCACCGCTCAGGCTTTTCGATACCCTAACACACTTCCCTCATCTGCTCGGGAAAAGAGGGAGGAGGAAAAATAAAGCAAAGATTGGGTACAAAGACGCTAAATGAGGGAAATGAGGACATTTGTGCTCAAACTGTGTTCGAAAGAGCAGTATTTTCGAAAGAAATCCTGTTTATTTTTTTCTTCTTTAAATAAACAACAACAACAACAACAAAAAAGAATGTGCCTCTAGCAGCTTAACCAACCTCCCTCCCTCCCTCCCTCTCTCTCTCTCTCTCTCTTTTTTAAGGGAAACATGTTGTTTGGTCGGATGACATTGCATAAATGACCAGTTGAATGGCACTAAGTCGAAAATTGGATAAACTATGGTGCTTTTTTGCCCGGGACTTAGGCATTGTCTGCTGTCTTGCAAACGTTCCTAATCCCCTCTTTTGAAAAATACAAGGCTTTGTGCCTGCCAATGAAAAAAAATTTGTACAGATACAAAAAAATCAGCAGCAGACGTGGTTATAAAAAGGAGTAAATAGGTTTTAGTTGGGCTGAGCAGTGAATGGCAGTTTTTTTTTTTTTTTTTTTTTTTTTTTTTTTTGAGGGGGGTAACATAAGGAGATCCCTAAAAATGCCCAGAGAGAGGATTTTAAAAAAAAATTATATGGTGAATTTTAATGGAGAAAGTCAGGTTTAAATAGTTAGGGTTTCCTCCTCGGAGATATAAGATAATGTTCTTTGTTGTTGGGTTGTTGGGTTGTTTTCCTCCTTCAAAGAAAAAAAAAAGATTTTTCCCCTCTCCAATGTAAATAGTGTTTCTGGGATGGTTTTTATTGTTGTTGGTGGTGGTTGTTTGGTTGATTTTTAAGAGAATAAAATAAGCATTTCTTAATTTTACAGACTTCGGGTTTTTTGACCGCTACGTATTTGTGGAAAGAACAACATAGCGAGCTTTGTATGACTGGAAGCCAGATTTGGGGGAAAAGTAAGTACAGTAAATACGGTCCTATTTGTCTCTTCCGCTGTTTGGGGAGCTTTAGTTCCTCAGCTCGTCGGAAGAAAGAAGTCTTGCTTTTGATTTGGGGGAGTTCTCGAAATGGGTGTTATTTACAGGAGGGCGTTGTTAGCAATTTTGGAAACAATGTTCATTGAGTTATCAGCTTCATTTACCGGAGGTGAATTTTTAGTTCAAGGATTTCTGAGCGGATAAAGCTGAGGTTAAAATACGCAGATACAGAAATTTCTGATGGGTCAAGGTGCCGGTTAGAGGGGGAGCAGATGAATGACTAAATACATCGTTAGATGAATTCAGCTTTATCTGCTTCTCTCTTTTTCCCTGTTAACAAATAGATCGGATATTGCGAGGAATTTTTAACCTACTGACGAACGTTTGCTCGCCTTTCTTTCTCCCCCACCTCTTGCCTCGGACTTTCCCTTTGTATGCACGTCGGAAAGCGACTTTTTTTCCCTGTCCTTCCTTTTCCCTTTTTCCTCCTCCATCCCTTCCTTCCCACATTTACCTGCCCTATCGCTGCAAGTTATTTGAACGCTCCCGCTCACCGAAGGAAAGGAAAAGTTTAGGAAAAGCGGGAAGGTGGCTTTGATTTGGTTTAGTTTGAGTTACCAGTGCCTTTGCTTACATCTGACACACTTAGACACGCGCGGACACACACACGCACCCCGGGATCTCCGTACGAGTCCCACGCTCTCAGCCTACACCCAACGCGAGTTGTTTGTTTGTTTGTTTGACCAAGGAAGACCGCTTGTTTTTTT